TACCTCCCCTATAGCTAAATGCTCATGAAACAATAGGAGACGATCACCTTTGCACAAATTATAACATATTTAGTGCTTGAAATTTTTAATAAAGTTAAATTCGTATTATTAATTATTTTTTAGTCAAATTTTATTAATAAAACACAATGATGCTCCTGTGACACCCATGAAGGATTTCAATTATGTAGGTAGTAGAATAACTGGATTTCGCTTCTAGGTAGACTTTTGTTTGGGTTACTTTTTATCTGTGATAAACTTTTTTTACCTAGGAATCATCCTTATAACTTGTACGTAAATATTTAATTAGAAAAAATTTTTTACGTGCAGGCAACAATTTTTTCCCCTGTGTCGATATTAACAAATTATTTTGGAGATTATTCTTTGTCATATGCATACGTTAATTTAACTAATTTTTTTCCCTATTACTGAAGTAATAGTTTATTTACTATACAGTTTAAACCATCTCACAAATACATATATTTCAATTTTAATGTTCAATTGACTATTTCTTATACTTTCAAAAAAATATCTGAAATAATAATATGATCTAAAACTATCTTTTAGAGGTATCATTTTAACCATGTTGACAAAATAGAGATTCAGACTTTGAATAATTTTGTTTTGGTGTTAATTGTAAAATTGAGTAGACATTCTTAGGTTAATCCTTATGTAGATGCCATATATACCTCACCTATAGCAAAATATTCATGAAGCAATGGGAGACGAGCACCTTGGCACGAATAATCTCATATTTAGTGCTTGAGTTTTCAATAAAGTTAGATTTATATTATTAGTTAATTGTTCATTAAAATTTTATTAATAAAACACTATTGATGCTCGTGCGACACCCATGCATTAAGTATTTCGATTATGTAGGTGGTAGAATAACTGGATTTTTGCTTCTAGGTAAATTTTTGCTTTGGAATCATTTTAATAACTTGTCTATAAACTAGTGAGGTTAAAGTGTTGGTTAATGTTAAAAATAAGAACGTGTAAATTTAAGAAAAATTCATTTATAAACATAAAAGAAATTCCAGTGATAATTTTCAAGAAATCCCTTGTAAACTACGTTGGGAGCCTTCTGTCCATGCTTTGGAACAATGTTTTCAAAAGAAAACCCATTTGTAGCAGATTTCAATTCCTCGCAGCTGAACTCTTTGAAGCTTGGCAATTCATTTTCTTCCCATTTTCTGTAACCAATTTACACAAAACCCGATAATGTAAATTAAAGATACAAAACCCCCTCCAAATAAAACATGATAATTAAATATATCTACACAGATCGAGGATTGAATAACAGAGGGCTCGAGGTTAGAATGCCACCAGCAAAATGAAATTTTGGAGCAATTTGCACCAATTTTAATGGCAACAGAACACAAAGAAACTAAAGCAATTAAAAAACTCATTCAACAAAACAAATGATAGAATGGAAGTTATTATTTAAGCCCCTATTTGACAACAACAATCTAAAAATAATCTACTAAATTGTTAACAAGGCAACAACAATTCATTAATTTGTTGACAAAGCAAAATCAGTGAGACTTTCAGCAATGGAGATAGAAAAAAAATAAATAAATAAATAAAAGATAAAAATACTCAACTTGTTCTCTTGTGTGATCTTCATTACGTAGAGGTCAATTGGTTGGTTGAGTTGCTAGATGACGGTGGCGATGAATTGAGTTAAAGATGCTTGACGTTTTGATTGGTATTTTGTCGGTGGAGTGACTTAAAGATGCTTGACATTGCACGGAGAAAGAGGAGGGACGATGGTTATGTTACGTATTTATTTATTTCTATCATTTTTTTTCACTTTTTTAAATTTATGTTACTTTTTTAGTTTTTGTCATCTTTTTTGAATTTATGTCAGTTTTTTAGCCTATCCCATTTTTTTAGTCACTTTTTTTTAAAAAAAAATAAACATCACTTTTCTAATAAAAAAAAAAGTGACAATAAACTTAAAAATGTCCCATTGCGCCAAATTTATGTCACTTTTTGAATAAGAGACATTACTTTTTAATAAAAATGGTATTGTATATTATTATTTTTTAATATAAAAGTGATACTTAACATAAAAGGTGACATCGTGCCACCAATATTTTTTTTTTTTCAAAGTGACACTTAATTTTACACATTTTTTTTTTTACTTCCAAAATACTTTCATATTATTTTTCAAAAATCCCTAATTTTAGATATATTTTTGCAAGTTGTCCTTAATTTTATTTTTTAATTCATTGGCTTAAATTTTAATTCATAATCAGAGATCCAACATAATCCGACTTCAAATTTGATATTTCAACACAATTGAACTTAAAAACCAATTTACAGAACTCTTCAATTCCATCTGGTAAAGTAAGTTATATTTTCGTAGATTCATTAATCTTACATTATTTTAAATAAATACAATTGATGTATATAAGATCCAGATGGGTCAAGAAGAACATGCATAAATTTATATTATTGATATTTATTTAGTAATTGACAAGATTTGTAATCTCCACTTAAAGAGTTTCGAAAATTTTCGCTCACGAGGGTTATTACATAGAGAAGAAACTTAAAATCAACTTCACATTAATTATGAGAAAATTGTACATTAAGATATTAGATATCCATTTTACAAATTTAAACAAAAGGAAAAAAAATTATTTATATTTCCACTGGTAAAATAATTGTAAAATCTATTACTGGACTTTTTCAGTCCATAATTCCAAGAGCCATCAAATTTCTTTGATTAGTAGTCTTTACGATTGCCATATTTTCAAATTTTTATGTTTGACTAAAAGTTGCTATCCAGGAAACAATATTGCACACAGACTCCATTAAACATTATAAACATAAAAGGTGATAAAAGCATGAATCTTGATTCCTACTATCTCGCCAGGCATTTCATCCACAATGGTAATCATAAAGCCTCAAAGTTCAGCACACTTCTTATACATTTGCATGACTTTTGAAGCTCGTGAACCTATAATTAGTATAAAAAAAAAAAAAAAAAAAGATCGATTTCACCAAATTGATTCAACAAGTGCAATTATATATCGATAATAATACTACTAAAACAAAGTTATCGAGTCCACCAAGAAATAGTAAAAGAATTACACATTTTTAAAAAAACAAAATTCAGTAGCAAATACCTATTGATATTTAAATGCACCTAAATGATGCCCATTAATAAAATTTACCTCTATGAAGCAAGAACAAGTCATGCTCCCCGACTTCCAAAGCTTCAAGCTCTTTTGCATTGATATTTTTTTCTCCTTGTGTAAATGAAGCCTTTAGAGATTCCGTTTAATAAGAAGAATAATAATTTAATCTAGCATGCCACTCATGAGGAAAGAATCATCTTTTCAATATTTACATCATCCCCAAATTTGAACACCTCCAAAATGAATTTTGAATATAGATTACATAAAATATTAAAGAAAAGCATTCCATGTGACTCTCCAAAGACCAACTTTTGTATTTCTATTTTCTTGTAGTTAAATTATTATATGAATAAATCTATTGTTAATGATATCCTAAGCACCGATAACATGGCACACCAATTAATTGATGAACCATTAAATTCATGGGACCTACCATTAACTTATTTACCAATTAATAATGTGCCATGTTTAAAAAATCATTTCTGTACACACACACAAGCAAATCACATTTTTCAAAGTAACAAACTAAAGTCATTTAACTCAGCAGTAATTTAGGATCAAATACATCACAATGATCCAACTAAGTTTTCCAAGAGACTTGGATAGAGGAAATCAAGATTTATGACCCAATTTTATGTAAAAAAAAATAAAATGTTAAGGCATTATTGAAACCGGTTGAAGTTTGGAAAGAATAACGAAATAATATAAATGAGTAGTTTCCTGAGAAAAATAAAAGCATTATGAAACTCTATAAACAGAAAAGAAGCTTGCATGCCTAGAAAGAGAATAGTTGAGGACTCACTGATTCCAATTCTGCATCATTCTCTTCATGTGCAAGTGTTATCATATCAATATGCTAAAGTAGTTCTTGCTCAAATGCATTAACCTCTTTCATTTTTACCATAAGTGAACCATGTTCATGGCTTATCTTCCTTGCATGTACAGCATCATCCCATAGGTCTAGCTTATTCAGCTAGTCTGGCTGAAAACCAGTCATGACAAAGAAAAGCACTACTTAAGCATCATTAAGGGCAAGAACCCCAGGTAAGGGTTTGCTATCAAGAAGTTCCAAGCTCGTATCATCTCCAGTAGAGATATGGCTCATCTTATCCGCCAACCCAAACTTGTCAATGGTAGAAACAAAATCACTGTCTCCAATGATTGATATCACTCCCTTGTCACTAAGCTCTGCCAATTTTCTTAGCTATAGCACGGAAAAGAATAAACAATTCATGCACTTGATTTCAAAAATCCAGGTAAAACATGACAAAAAATAGAATTTATCTACAGTTATGAGCTACCTTATTATTTATTATACTTGTGTTCCTGTGGAAAGCTTGTCAAATTCAAAAATAGCACTATGATAAAAATGCCTTTTTGCAACATGCAAAAGCCAACATTCATTAATTAAATGTTGCTAAAAGGATTTATTGCAACATTATAATAAGTGAATGTTGCCACTAGTGTTAATAATTGAGATTTAGCAACATTTTTTTAATTGACTGTTGCTAATGTTGCTTTTTTACAACGCTTATTTAGCATTGCAATTTTTTTATTTTTTGTAATGTTTATCAAATGTTGCAAAAGACAAACGTTGCAAAAAGGTCTTTTTTTGCAATGTTTATCAAACACTGAAAAAATAGAAACCTTTAGCAGCATTTATCAAACGTTGCGAAAGATAAATCTTTTAGTACGTTTATCAAATGTAGCAAAATATTTATCTTTGGCAACGTTTGATAAATGATGCAAAAGGCCCAACTTTTTTTTTTTTAAACAATACAAATGCCAAGGCCCAGCCAAAAAGTGAAGCCCGTTGCTTAGCCCAATACCATAATTCCCATTCATGTGAACAACTTCTATCCATTCCATCCATTCAAATTCAATCCCATTCCATCACTACTTTCTCCACCCCCACCGCTGCCTACTCCTTCCAATTTCAGCTCCGCTGTCACCACCTCCTCCTTCCAGAGCCAGACTTCTCATTTTCCATTGCTACTCGCCTCACCTGCTCTCCATCTGGTCCTGTTTGTTCGATTTGAGCGTCAACGGTTACGGTAGCAGCAAAAGTAGATGCGTTCCTAACCTCCTGATGTCGGTGATTCTTCGGCTGCAGTAGAAGAACTGAAGAAGAAGGTGAAGCCCTTAGCCCTGAATCGATTCCCCGAACCTGACACTCATTTTTCCTTACTTATTTTTTGTTCTGTTGATTTGCCCTATATTCTGGTTGTTGCTTTAGTAATTAGATGGGCATGATTTGTGATTTATATGGCAGTATCCTAATTATGTTTTTGATGTTGCTTTAAAGCAGTATCCTGATTATGGCTGCCTGATTTGCCCTATATTCTAGTTGTTGCTTTAAAGCTGTTCAATTTTCTAGTTGATCTTGTCATTTCCAATTTTTTAGCGTTTTTTTAGATCCTTATTAGCAATTGGCAGAGCTTGGATATGCTGAAGCTAGTCCGTGCAGCCTTGGCGTAACAATTTTTTTTTACTTTTTGAGATATATTTTGTTTTACAAAATTGGTTGATTTCGTGTCTGAATTTTGAGGGGGTGATACTAAAATAAGAATTGAACTTCTTTAAATAGCTTATCTTGCTGATTCAATAGCAGATTTTACAAGAATTGTTAAATATAATTTCAGTGACCCTTAAGTTGTTGGATTATGTATTTTCACTAAGTTATCGTCTTGCTGATTTCCATGGTTCCTTAGCGTTTTCTTTTTCATTATGTGTATTTGATGGATGGAGAGAACATGTTTGGTTCAGCAAGTGTATTAGTTTGAGTTCTTATTCCTGTTAGGGTTCTCACATAAAAAAGAAAGGAAGAATTGACATCAAATGAGTAGTAACTGCTGCAGAGAAAGCTTACCAAGAAAAAGCACTAGTAGGTGGAATCAGAACTCATGTGTTCTCAAAATCAAAAGGAGATGCTTAAGCTGCTAGTTACTGATATGAAGCCGCTTTCTGTCCGGGACATTGTCCACAATGGAGCCACTTTCCAGGTAATGTAGTCTTTGTTTGCTCTATATGATTTTAATGTATCAATGATATCTTACTAATACCTTTTCTAACTCATAGATGTGGTTTAGGATCGGAAAATTGATGTAGTGAGTTCTTAATGATGTTGTAAATCACCAACTCAGTGGTTCTATGCCAACCTTGCTTTACGTGTCCGCTAATGTAAATCGAGCACTCTCTTACATCTCGCCAATAAATATGAAAAGAGATTAGATCTGACATTTGACCATAAAATTGCAGAAAACGTAAATAATATATGATTTGATTGAAATTCAAACACAAGAACTTTTTTTTTTTTTTTTATATTGATTCAATGCTTCTCTTGCAGCTTTGTTGGCCGTCGTGAATTGTGTGGCTAGCAAATCGAAGAGTGCATGAAGGACAATATGATTGAGTATGCCGTTACATTATTATCCGGAAGCTGGTATTGCAAGTGTGGCAATAAGCTCTTCATGCCTAAGCTGTATCAAAATTTTATTCCTAGTTTTGTTTCACTTTGAAGCTCCTTTGTATTTAGGTGGTGTTGTATCACATTCCAATGTTCAAGTGTATGGATTCAAAAATTTGTAATGAAATTATCAATTTTTATGCAATTCCAAAATTTGTTCAGAAGGAGTCATTTTCAATTTTGATAGTCAATTTACATAAATTGTTATAAAAAATAAAAAAACTACGGCAATGGTCAAAAAATATTGCGAAATGGTTTTTTGCAATGCCCAAAAAATGTTGCAAATTATTTTTTATTTATTTATTTATTTATTATTATTATTATTTTTTTTTTGCAACATTCAAAAAATGTTGGGGTTTTTTGCAACATTCAAAAAATGTTGTGAAAGGATTTTTGCAACGCTCGAAAAATGAAAAACATAGCGAAAGGATTTTTTGCAACATTTAAAAAATGTTGTCATATCATTCTATTCTACGATAACATACAGATTAGCAACATGTGGCTGAACGTTGCGAAAAGTCATTAGCAATGTTTTTTGAACGTTGCAAAAAGCCTCTTTTTTTTTTTTTTTGGGTAGTGTACCCATGGGTCCATCCAAATGACTAATTTCATAGTATCTAGAGCTTTTTTCAAATGACTTGATAGTTTGAAGTCCAATACTAAACCCATCCAGCCATTAGGAATTGCAGGTGTTGGAACAACTTGTGAAAATGTTGAGTAACACTTCAGTAGCTACTCTACAGAATCATCTTGTTGGAAGCTGCAATCATTCCCATCTTTCTCCATATAATTATGTAGTACCAAAGTAAGCAATTTATTGCATTAGCTAGGTAGTGAGTTATTTCAGAATATTAGCAAGTCAAATTTATGCTACAAAAAGCACATACCAAATCAGTTACAAGGCTCATCTAGAGCTCAAAAACATTATCAAAATGCCATTGAGTGGAAAACCAACCTTGCTATCTTTATTAGCAACAAATTTGTCAGCAACAACATCAGTAGGTAGAAAGAGGGATCCCCTTAGACTTGGCCTTCTCCATAAATGATGTTTCAAAGACTAAGCGTGTCATTTTCCACAAATGAAGATCCCAAGGCATGGCATTAGGCTTTATAGAAAGTAAAGATCATTCCTCCATCAAGAATGAGTATGTCAACCTTCTCTAACAATGACACAATCATGCCAATTTTGACGGATCCCTTTGAGCCACAAACAATTGTAGTAAATGGATTTATTTATTTATTTATTATTTTTATTTTTATTTTTTGCATGCAATTCAAGAAAAATAAAATGTTAGCATCAATAAATGTCCAACAACCATAATGCTATAAAGAAATATGCAGTGACGCAATAAGTGCCAACCATCGAGTTAAATATTTTAATAACACCTGCAAGTCTTATAATTCCAAAGTCTATGAAAAAAATGGTACTTTACATTTCAAAATGTTGACTCATGCATGACAAAATATTCAAATGAGCAATCTTTCGACCAGACACAGAATACATAACTTAACCAAGTCTAAAGTATCCGCTAACCTTCTGTATAAGGAATCCAGCAATAGAAGGCTTCATACACTTGGCCACTTTCTCGGTGGAAGCATACATAATGACCAAGAAAACAAGCATAATGAAATGAACAAAAAAAAAAAAAAAACTGGAAAAAACCGTGGACTTGAGCTCTCCGCCAACCGTGCTTGCTTTTAATCTGATCATGCACCAACTCCAACCTATTTGAAAAAATCTCCAATTCCAACATCTGCTGTTTCCTCCATTTCTCATCAATGAACCTCTCCTCACCCATCACTCCACTAAAAGCCAAAGGCTTGGGAGTCAAAACCAACACAAACCCATGGTTTCATAAAATCCATTCCCATTCAAATTCATAGAATTCCCAACAACTCCTTGAAAATTCATCATTAATTTCATTATTCATTCATCAAAATTCATAAATCACAATTTATACTAAATCTGTAAATCACCAATCAATCTGTAAAAATATACTGAGAGAGAGAGAGAAGAAAGGGCTCAGAGCGTACAGGTGCCAGTGGCACGTAGGGCAGAGCCAGTGGGGGAGAGACAGACGATGATGGAGAGCGGATGCGCCCATAATATTACTACAAAATTTAAGACAAGGCCCAAAGTGCTGATCAGCACGCAAAGAAGTGCTGGTAGAATCACTATAAAATCTAAGTCAAGCAATTGATTGTCTGAAGTGACTCCTTCCATGGTGGCAGATGTGACAATGTGGGCAACATCAGCTGATTTACGTTGCCAAGAAATTGTGACCGCGGTCATTTCCTGAGGAAGAGAGCGAGAGAGGAAAGGGTTTGTTGCCTCGAACGAGAGCAATTAGGGTTGAAAGAATCTAGAATAGTCTAATACCACTACAATTTTTAGGATTTACCGAGTTTACATTTCAGATTACAAATTATTCGACCTTACATACAGAATAAACTAGTTAAAGCAACAAGTCACTTTAATTGGATGTCTAGGTGGTTAAAAAAAACAATTCAATTATCCTATGTTTGAATGCCGCCGTTATAATATTGTAGAAGCCAATAAATAACACAAGATATGAGGACGAAGAAATCCCAACGTGGGTAAAACTTCAGGACCAAGCGAGTTACATCCACTATAGACAATTTAGATAATACAATTACAAGCTTATCCTTGTACCCATTAAGACCTGCTGCCATAGCCTTATGATCTATTGTTATAGACATCTCTAGCACTAGAATTCCCTATCTACCTCCTGTAGCCTCCTATTACCGTAGATTCTTCTAGCCTCCTACTAGACATCCTGCTAAACCGCCTGTTCTTGTACTTGTAACTGCGTTTTAATCCACATCTCTCAATCCTCCAATGAGAGAGTCCCTTCATCAAAAGATTAAGGAAGACATGTGTTTTGGACTATCGGACCTTTAATGTTTTCCCCAATATGTGGTTGTTGAATCTCAAGAATAAATAAAATGAATCAATGCTTAAACATGCTCTTGGATCTTCAAAAAGATTATAAGAATATATTTTCTAAGAGAGACACAATGAACAACCACCCAAAAATTCGTGCTAGGGCTTGGGTATTTATATTTGAATGTGTTTTAGTAGTATGGGTCGAGTAAAACTCTTAAAAATGCGAACTAGCGATTTTTTAGTATAAGTATGTGGCTCGAGCGAGGATTCAGTGAGAATCGAGCTAGAACCATTCTGTTTTTTTGCTCAGGCAAAAAGCCAACGAGAATCGAGTGACAGCTGACCAGTTATAAATGTTTTCACCATAACTTTCTCTCTCGATGTCTGATTGAGGTGATTCAACTTACGTTAAAAAGCTAACGCAAAGGGCTACAATTCTCCGAAATAGCCTTGACTAAATTCCAATTTTTTCTATGTGAAAAATGTATTGGAAGTTACGACTGAGAATTTGGAACATAACTTGTACTGCTCTTTGACATTCTTTAGACTTCTAATTGCATTCCGTTGGTCATACGTGGTCTTCTTGGACTCCTTAAATGCCTCCAATGCTAATTTACCTCATCTATTCAAAATTAAAACTAAGCCTTTGACTTTTACAAGTGATCAATTTAGTCAATTTTGTTTGCAGCATTGCCAATTACAATATTGGACCTAACAATCTCCCCTTTGGCATTCGGTGACAAAATTAGACAAATTTAAGTCAAGGGATTACAATCAGTCAAAAATCTAAACTACCCAATATTCCAAATCATTAAGTCTTACATTCCTTGTTGAACCTATTTCCCGAAATCCAAAATCTCACATGCCAGTGTAAAAGCACGTGATACAGAAAATAAAAATTAAAGCACATAAACGCAAACACGTCAACATGCTACTTTGAGACATGTTATTGATGTCAATCAAAACACCAACCGAAATACTAATATCACTAAACATCAAAACTCAAACAGCAATAGATATGATATGGAATGCAATGTAATACTCCCCTTTACTTCGAACTCTCATAAATTCAATGCAATAACACAATGTATCTATGTCTCTCCCCAACGACCCCTATAAAACATAGCAATGCAAAATGCAAGTAATGTCAATTAGTGAAATCATGTGCATGCCAATGCAGTCGCTCTCCTATGTGTATGTTATTTTACATGTTTTTTTTCCTTTAGTTATATACATTTCTCTCTCCCTTTTTGTCACAAATGCTAAAGAGAATCATATCAAGAACCGTATGAATGGAGTAGAGAGTACAAGTGACTCATGTGTGTAAAATGTCATTATTCCAATGCAAGCAGGACTTCAAACTTTAATTTTGTGAGAAGGGACAAGTCAATCACTGCCAATAAGTATATTCCTCTGCTTATGAAAGTCAAATTATGAAAGTACAGCAGAAACTATACTTATTACTTTTATTTTTCTACCCCTTACTTTGAACATTAATATTTTTTAAAGTTTCCATATTTTTCAACTCATCACATTTTTCATTTTTTTTTTACATTTTTCTCATTTTTCCAACTAATTAGTTTTTTTTTATCTTAATAGCAGATTCTTCTATATTAGGCACTAAGATGACCCCGTAGCGAGCTTTAGGCCGATTAATCCAAGTTAGCTGACCATAGGCACCAGGTTTTAAGAGACCCCTCAGGCTTAATTGCTCAAGTTAAATAGGCCACAAAGAAAAAAAATTAAGATATGAGCTTATTTCAATAGGGGAATAATTTTCGGGTTTATGTCTACTAAGTATTGGTCAATTCATTTCCAAAGTCATCCTATCAACATGTGATAACCATCTCAAATCTCACACACGCTGTAGAATCCCAAATTTCTAGTAGGTGCAGTGCAAATGGTATATAAAAACACTTATACCAATTAATCTAAATAGACCTAAACAAGTAATGAAAATTATTTACAGCTTATCAATTTCAGCTCATGCATGATTACAACCAACATGTTCAAGAAATACATATCATGCTATAGCAATTTCCATAGCAAATTATTTTTGTCTTTTCCAATGTTTCAAATTTATTATTATTATATATATATATATATATATTTTTGTTTTTCTTTTTCAAACATGAATACATTGTTCAAAAAGAAAAATATCAAGTACAAAAAAAATAAAAATAGATATGCATGCATCAATGCATACAGATGAGAATACACATGCATGAACTAAAAAGACAGCAAATGAAAGTA